TTTTTTTTTTTTTTTTTTTTTACTTTTTAAAGAAATATATTAAAGATAATTTTTTTTTTCTCCAAATCTCCCCCCAAATAAATAAATAAATAAAATAAAATAAAAAATTCCGAATTTATAAGTTGTTTCAATAATGAAATATTTTTTTTGTATCAGATTTTATTGTAAACCGAGCAAATCAACCGTGAAAGCCCTCACTTACCTTAGCATATCCACCAAGAGAGGATTCCGGTCGTTGTCACCGTTGGAGAGGGAATTCAAAAATCATATTGATCTACCTCCACGAAGGTCAACAACCAGATATTTCTCATGTTTTCATATCATACTATTTGATGATGAGTGCTATATTGCATCATGTCGATAGACTGACATAAGTCACAACCCTAAGAGCATGAAAATGATATTAATATAAATATCCAATGAACATGTGTTACTTAATGTAACAAAGAGATGAGATGAGATTAGAGGGTTGTGTCATAAGAGATGATAAGATGGAAATCAGAGAGACCTCATGCATGTTGTATGTTCATAAGCATAGAGATACTTTCCAGAGACAATGAGTGTGGACGCACATAGTATGATGATGAGGGTGTTCATGGGGAACATGACACCAAGGGGTTTCGCTGACCTCCGGGCATTGCTATAAAGTAGCTTGACTAGAGATGGTTCAGGAGGTGTGCAAGTCTCCTGGGGATTCACACTCGCACGTGTGGAAAGTACTACACATCCATAGTAGTTTGAGACTGGAGATCACCCCTAGATGAGATAGAGATAGGTCCCAAGAGCATGATTGCATGTGTTTGCATTTGCATGGCCCCCAATAGTGAGATCACTTACTGAGTATTCTCCGTTGTGTGCCACATCATTTTTCAAGTAAAGGTAAGGCGCACATGTTCGGATGACGATGACATCGCGAGACTATGACACGTACATAGGGTAGACCCATATTTAAATTCCTAGTAATTGTTTTACACTTTATTGATTTTAAATTATTTTATATTTGTTTTTAATTTCTCTAAATTTCAATATTTCGTATTTAAACACGTAAAACCATGACTGTGTTTTTCAGAGAATAGTATATTTTAAATATTTTCGACATTTATACTATAGATGATGTTTTCTTTTAAGATTTATATTTTCGCATAGATGATAAGCATGAGACGTTAGTAGACTCTGAGTATATAGAAATTTAAAATCGTTACAAAAGTAGCATATAATGGAACAAAATTGACACGGGCCTAAAGCTCACCAACCCGACCTAAGTTCTTTTCATTCCTACGAGGCTCGAAGTTGCAAGAGAGTGTGATGTTATGTCTTGTTTCGTCGAAAGCAAACAAATGTTGTTCATAATTACCTAGGCATTATTATTTGTCTTACTAGGTTTTTAAAGTCAACAAGATTTTCTTGACTTAGACAATTTGTTACATTAAAAACATGTTCATTTAGTTTACTATAAGATTAAATTGAACCAAACTTAAAATAAAATAAATAATAACTAAGCAACGTTTAATATTATACGGGAGGCTCGGATTCTAATTATTAACGCATTTAGTTATGTTTTGAGTTTAAATCAATAATTTAGATTTTTTTTCCAATTTATTTAAAAATTATTTTATAACATTTTTATTAAAATTAGTATAATTATATTTATTCAATCAATCATAACTCATCATTAACCTCGGTTATAAATATCAAATATTATTAATTTTTATAACAATTTTAAAAATAGGGTAAAGCTGAATTGGATTATGAACCTATTTTTTTTTGATCCAGTTGACACTATTAATAAGTTCAAACCCACCAACAAAATTAAAATTTTCAATTTTCATAGAATTAATCCAACCTAAATCGAAAAAAAAAAAAAACTAATTCAACTTAATCCAACTCTTATGATTTGGATTGAGTAGTCTAAGTTATTTGGGTGATCAAGCTATATGAACACCTTACTAATACCCACCGCTAGCAAATATTGTCTGTTTTAGCACGTTACATATTGTCGTGAGACTCATGATTTTAAAACGTGTATAGTAGAGAGAGGTCTCCACACTCTTATAATATAAAGAATATTTTGTTCATTTCTCCAATCGAAGTCACAAAAATACATATTAATTATCATTGAGTCATGTTTAAATTGATAATAAATGAAGGTTTGATTATTCTCCAAATATTTTCAACTGGCAACCCTAACTAAATTATATACCAATTAATTAATACACATCAATTTTTTAAAATATAATAATAAATAAAATTTTCAATAAAAAATATTCGAACTTTCAAAAATTACCTTAATACCCTTAACTAAAAAAAATTCAAAATGTCTTAACATTTTTTTTACTTAACCAATTTTTTTTTAATAAACAAACATGATCCAAAACGTCACGTTAAAGTATAAAATCTCATAATATCCCATAAATTCCCGTTTGAAAGTATAAGAGTATTTATGATTTTTATTCACGGTAATTATATTTTTCTAATTTTTTTTAAAGGTTAAGAGTATTTTCTATAATTTAGCGAAAATGGTAGACGAACCAAGGTTATTTTTGGCACCTAAGATTTTGTCTCATTTCCACTGTGACGGTGTCTTGACTCGATCACTCAATCTACCATAGTCAAAAGGAACAATTTTCTTTGTTTCTTCCCACAAGACATGTCCATGAAAAGATCAAATCATCCCTATCTATTCAACACACCCAAAACCGTCCAAAATCCAAACTACCCATTTGTCCTTCAACACTTACTTGTCGATCAAAACTAAGATTCCATAGCCATTTCAAACAAAAATACCAAAATCTGCTCATTTCTTTCTTTGTTATGTTCATCTCTCAACTTAGAAAAAATGAAATTGTTCGTTTCTTTCTTAGGCTAATCCGCCATTTGCAACTATAAGATCGCGATGGCTGTTTCTCCGTTTCAGAAGCTTCACAAATGGCTTCTTTCTCTTGCCCTGTTCCTTATGTTGTGAGGTGTTCCATTGCCAAAGAAGGGGGTGATTTTAACAAGCAGAGGTATGCTAAAGTGAATGGGGGTATTATTAGGTCAATTTCTGAAGCTGATTTGTTGAGCCGATCGGCAAAAGCTTCGAGGGCTCTCATACCCTCTGTTGCGGAAAATGGGTTTGTTGTTAAAGAAGATGTTCGTCAGAAAATTCCCACGAAGAAGCAGTTGGTTGATCCTTATCGACAAGGGTTGATCATTGAAGGGGGTGTTGGGTATAGACAGACTGTTGTGATCAGATCGTATGAAGTTGGTCCTGATAAGACTGCAACTATGGAGAGCCTCATGAATCTTCTGCAGGTCAGGATGCCCAACTTGTGTTCGACGAAATGCCTGATAGAAGTTTTTGAATTTGGGACTCGCTCTAATTTGTTGGTACCATTTGTGATTCATGTAGGAAACAGCACTTAATCATGTTTGTTGGTACCATTTGTGATTCATGTAGGAAACAGCACTTAATCATGTTTGGATGTCTGGACTTCTCAGCAATGGTTTTGGGGCCACTCATGGCATGATGAAGCACAATCTTATCTGGGTAGTTTCACGAATGCTCGTCGAAGTAGACCACTATCCGATATGGTATGTTCTCTTGTAACAATCAAAAGAGTAATCCTACTGAACTTGAAGTTTGTGGTGCTCTATATAAACTCAATTGTGGATTCATCTAGATAGCTGTGAATCCATTTTAACAGTCAGCTTCCTGGTTTTTTCTTGAACAATAAACCACTGTCCTGCCTGTTTGATGTCTTGTCCAAAACAGAACATGCCCATGGGTAAACTTACTAATAATACAATAACATTGTACCATCAATTCTATAGATGTTAGAAAACTCCTGAGCCTTGAGATGATTATCTTCCTACTTTGGTCATGGGGATAGCAATTTCAAATTAACAAACGTTTTATCTACTCAAACTACTTGAAATATTACTCATATGCATTATGCATATGAATCATTCTGCAGGGGCGAGATTGTTGAAATCGACACATGGGTTGGGGCGTCTGGCAAGAATGGAATGAGGAGGGACTGGCTAATTAGAAGTCAAGCCACGGGTCATGTTTACGCCCGAGGTACAAGGTAAGAACTTAATATCTCTAAATGACATTTCTTTCAAATTTGTACTCAGTTACTGTCATCTCTGCTGGTGTACTCAAATGATGAAACATATAAACAGCACATGGGTGATGATGAATCAGCAAACAAGACGACTCTCAAAAATGCCAGAAGAGGTAAGGGCGGAGATTTCACCATGGTTTATAGAAAAACATGCAATCAAAGAAGATGCCTACGAGAAAATCTCCAAGTTAGATGACAAAGCTAAGTACATGAACTCTGACTTGAAGGTAAAAGTCCTTTTAAACTCAACTACCACTCAGTATCCACCAGGATTTAGAAAGAAATGCTGATAATTGATGTTTACTCCCAGCCAAAGAGAAGTGATCTGGACATGAACCACCATGTCAACAATGTAAAGTATCTAAGATGGATGCTAGAGGTATTGTACATACAAAACGACATTTGATCGTTTATCTGTAGATTCATTTTTCCTAGGGGGTATGGATATCTTACCATTAACGAGAAAACGAGAAAACGAGAAAATTCGGTTAAGTTTTGAGCTTCTTCGTTTGCCTATGACAGACGATACCTGACCATGTTTTGGAGTCTCAGCAACTTTCTAGTATCATATTAGAGTATAGAAGGGAATGCGGAAGCTCTGATATAGTTAAATCACTATGTGAGCCAGAGGAAAAGGGAATCCTTAGGGACGTTGACATGATAGAAGATAGTGAAATCAGTCTACTAAATGGGTTTTCCTTGGCATCTGAGATTCTCAAAGGTGGTGGGCTCTTGGGATCCTTTGACAATGGAACACTGAGGTATACACATCTTCTACAAATTGAAGGGGAAGCTAAGAATGAAGAGATAATGAGGGGAAGAACCACATGGAAGAAGAAGGTTACTACTACTATACCATTTTCCACACAGTAAATTTCATCTATAGCTGTTTCATTCCTCTCTATGAAGAAGAGGATATCCACAATCAAGATTTATCAGTCTTGTCGTTCTGCTTCACAAGGGAGTTCATCAGATGGAGCTGCTCCTGCAAATTTAGTAGAAATGACAGAATCCCTTTAAAGTGTTCAAGAACTATATGTAACACACTATACACAAACAATGTAAATTGTAATATATTGATTATCATTTGGAAAAAAGATGATCCATCATGGATATATTTGAAGATTTCAGGCCTCAGCATTCTGGGATGTTTGTGCTTCAAGCTTTCAAATTCTGCAACTAAGCAGCCTAAATCCCGCTAGTGGATATTGTCATCATTGGGCATGTTCTCAAGGTTTTTAAACTGTGTTTGCTAAGGGAGGTTTCCACACCCTTATAACAATGCATCATTCCCCTCTCCAACTGATGTCGGATTTCACAATCCACTCCCCTTCTAGGCCTAGCGTCCTTGCTAGCACGCTGCTGGGTGTCCACCCCCTTTCGGAGCTCAGTGTCCTCGCTGGCAAATTGCCCGGTGTTTGGCTCTGATACCATTTGTAATAGCCCAAGCCCATCACTAGCAAATATTCCTCTTCGGGCTTTCCCTCAAAGTTTTTAAAATGCGTGTGCTAGGGAGAGGTTTCCACACGCTTATAAAAAATGTTTCGTTTCCCTCTCCAACGGATATGGGATCTCACAATACCTCCCAAGAAAAAAGGGACAAAAACAAGATAGAAGAACTGAGAAAATACGAACTCTAACCTTGTATCGTAAGAAAAAGAAAAATACTATATAGAAAACTTTCCACTCAAGAAACATAATTCTTGCTCATCTGGGAAATTAGTCCATTTTCTGAGAGGAAACTCAAGTACAATCACTGTGGGTAAAATATTTACATGGGAATACCCCTTGTGACAAGAAGAAACCAAAGAATAGCCTACCACCACTGCTGAGAGATCATAGCTTCTTTCTTGCTAAACTCCGATGCAATTGCCACGACCAAATTAGAAGGAATAATACGACTGCAGCCCCGACCGCGATCCAGAAGATTACCAGCCAAAGGGGCATTGGTTTGGGATATAAACCTGAAATGAAAAATAGATCAATGGCAGCCAGTTAATAGAACGTCAACAAGCTCGAAACTAAGCCGTTGGATATGCAGAAGATCTCAAAATATATACCATGTCCAAACTTTATACAAATAAGAAGCTCAATGATGCAAATTGCAAGCGACAGCCAACAAAATGCGCCGACTTTCTTCACGGGCTTTCTGGAATATATATTATCAGTCAAGATGAATTTGTTCGTAGGAATACGAATTCAGGGAGGGCAGAGATGGAGAGCGTACCGATCTTGAAGGTAGGAATTATACTCGCGAATTGTTGGGATCGCGATTAGCCACCACAAGACTAGCCTATATATGATCACAGGATTCCTAGGGGGTACCCAAAGACAAAACTTCAAAAAGAATGTATTGAGCTCTACTGTGAGGAAGATGATGCAAAGGCTTATAACTTGAAAGAAACGCCATGGACCAAGCAATGGGTGCCACTCATCTTTGTCCCACTGCGCCGGTGTAAATTGTCCCAGTGTCCGTTTAACCTGAATCGGCCAAGAGCAAATATTCATCCTGGATCGGGCAACACGATCTGTTCTCCTCCTAAACTAGCATAATATTCAAAATATGGAGGTTTAACCGAAACGTACTTTCCCAATAATATTAGGTTGACGACTTAGACCGACCCACTTGTATGTTTTACCGTCGAAGTATCCAACAGTACACATTCCTGCCCAGATGCCTGCAAATTTTGTCATACATGAAACCAAAAAACCATGTTTAATTCTAAAAGGTACTATTAGTTGCATACAAGTATGAACACTTGAACCATCCTTGTCTATGCAAGAAGATCCAATAACCGATAATCTAACCATTTCAAACCGTCAACAGACATTGAAAATTGGACTCGAACGACAAGATAACAGACCAAGAAGGATAATAGCTAATTTTGACTCCGATCGAAAAAAATCGGGCATGTGGGAGGGAGAGAGATCTCACCAAACCAGTTGCAAATCAAAATATCAAGAACGATACTGTCCCACCAGCATTCGTTAAAGTTCGGAAGCATGTGGCGAAAGGTTAGCTGAAAATCAAGAGAATTAAGTTATAATCACATCAATGAATTGGACAAACGCACGTAAGAAGGCCGAGCTTTGGTTGGGATCACATTATGAAATTCATAGGTAACGAAAGACCGAACCTCCATCATTTCAAACCCAATCGACAACACCCATAGTAGAGCTTGGTTACGAATCATTATAGCCTTGCCCCACCATCCAATTATATGAGCTGGAACAAATTCATCGAAAAGTGTCTCCTAGAAGTAAGGATAAGCAAGTATGATGAATTCCCCTCAGTATCGTAGGTGCGAAAAAAACAGTACATTTCGAGTATATAGGTAAATGATTTCGTACATAAACATTCTTAAACCTGCTTCTGGAATTTTCAGGTAAATAAAGGCGACAATCGGCACCATAAGATCTTTCCGGTAGCTCTGCATGAAATGGCAGGATTATAACATATCCGAATCCGAATCCATGCTTATACATTTTCACGGATAACAGTTTGAAAGAGATGAAGAGCATTACCAACACCGAGGTCAGGATGAAGAAACTTCATAAACTGTCGAGCATCATCACGGCTCTGGAAGATCATTATATCGTGATGTTAACGAATCATAATTTCTAAGAGCCTATTTTCTGATTAACAATACAATAAAAAACTTCGAAAAACCAACAACACTTGAACAATAAACGAATTCCGACCCACGATTAAACAGTAAGTATCATAGCAGAGAAAAAAATAAGGGAAAAACACCACTTTGAGGGAGACGTGCCTGAAAAAGCAAAAACGTAAGCGCTATCAAATAAATGACAGCCATTCCATGTACCAAACGCCAAATTGCTGGATGTGGCCTAATCAGAATCCTGCAAGAAACAATCCCACGTGCGAGAGGCGTAAAAATACAGTTTCATGAAATTACGTTAATCAGAACTTCGCTAATCACGAACCATACCAAAGCGAGCTGAAAAATGAGTCCAAAATGCAACAAAGATAAATTGGAGATAGCAACAATGAAAAGTTAGGCTATACATAAGATGTTTTAGATTAGTAATCTTCCACTGCATAAACAACAATCAGCTCATGACACTTCGTGAATGAAGCACACGTCTTGTCATGCACAACAGGAACAAAGGAAATCTAGAGTCTTTACCATTGAACTTTCTTTATGTACAATACAAAAGACGAGGATGTCAATAAGCTACGTTCATACGCTCAAAAAAGAACCACTTACGTCGAAGGGGCTTGCAGCAGACAATAGGCAAGAAATACTGAAATCATAGCCCATACGCCCCTACATGAATAGCGTTCAGTACGATGAGCTTCTGGCAGAAACAAAGCAGTGATAACATAATTCTTATTGACACAAACCTTTTAACAGATGTAGCACTATCCTCATGCGCCGCCTTTTGAGGATCAAGGGCTCCACTGGCCCAGCTGGTTAAGACAAGCACCCAGACAAACAACAAGGCAAATAAAACATAAGTTTACAAATACTAAAATTAAGTGTTGGTTTTACAGCTGAAGAATATAACATCATTCTCTTGCTCCATGCTGCCAATTATAAAAAGAAATGAAGGAAAAGCTTCCGTTCGAGCGAATGACTAAACATACAGAAGCGAACTTCGTAAACAGAACCAGGAAAACTGAAAGACCTCCACTGCTACCTCGAAAAGACGTAAAATTAACATAACGAACTAACGATCACGAGAAAGAGAATATAATGATAAGAAACTACCTATTGCACAAAACACTCACATAAGGAAGCATGCACCAATAAGTAACAATGATATTGTACGAGGCTTATACGCCCATGCAGTCCAAGGATCGAGATCTTCACCCAAGCTTAATGAATTATAATCACCATTTTCTTGAACCAAATGATTTCTTTTCCTTGCTCGTTTGTGTCCGTCAGGTCCCATGGCCATTTCTTGAAACGATACAGCTTGTTAACTGCAAATCATAAATAAAATGGTGTAACCATAAACATATTACAGAGTTATAAGTAAAAGGATTCCTAGGATGCCTCCTCATACACCGATCAACGGCTTAGAGCATGAACGGGGTGAAAAGGCATTAGAAAAACGACCGAACAAGGGCACCTTTAGGAACAACAAGCAGAACTATGGACAGAACACAGAAATATCATCCCCATAAATTGGCAAGGCAATACGTATAGAGCATACAATTTGGCGATGCAAGCACGTCCACCTCAAACATAAATATTTTAGTACGAAAATCAAAAGTTGGTTGGACCATCAAAAAGTTCTCCACCGCTCGAAACACTTAAGTCCATTCTTTTAGCCCTTTAACAAGTAAAGAACCCAGAGATTTATAGTACCTTTGCAGAAAATGAATCAGCAAATCATGATAAACATGGAAACTCATCAAGCCAACAATAAGATCGATAGACAACGGATGAACAAAAATATTCGTCTTAGGAAGTTCACATGATTAAACACCTTCTCAGCGACGAAAATCCGATACTCAAAATCATTACAGAATCTAGAGAAAATTGTGCTCCAGTCAAAAAAGGTGAGCAGAAAGAGGCATTAGATGATATGATTAAGAAAAACATTCTATCCAAATGAATGGTCCCTACAGATTTCCCTTTGGCTGACTGCGACATTCATTTCGAATCACAATAGTCTAACAAAGAACATTCAATGAAATCCAATCACTAAAACTTACATATTTCACCCATCAAATGGATGCCTGTTCTTCAAAGTCCAAAAGAGATACTCAAATTTCAAGTCAAACCCCTTTTACACAAATATAATCCCACACAATTCTCCAAACTTTACAGACTGTTTGCTAATAATAATGCATTAAACCTATACCAAAGGCTATGTTCATAGCCTTTGTAAAGGGATTTTAAATGCAAGATCAT